CACTTAAATAAGGGGCTCGCAGTACGGAGAGGCGGCTTTGCACAGGGCGACACGGCCACAGAGCCACAGGCCCGGCAGACCCCACGGTTCCTGGTGGCACCAGCCCACGAGTCCAGACGGCCTTAAGGAGAGAGCCCTGGGCGGTCATGCAGCCCCAGTCTGCTGCTCCCAGCTAAAGTCTGGCCCTGCCCCGGCTCAGGCCCACAGCCCTCACCTTGGCCCAGGTGAGCTTCTCCTGAACCGCGGGGTTGCTGGGCTCCACGTGGCGTGCGAACTTGAGGTTGTTGATGGTGTACTCGTGGCCACAGTAGACTTTCTGCGAGAGAGGCCACACACAGCTCTGAGGAGGCCGCTCGGTCCACCCTTGGCACTCCTCAGACGACGGTCCACCTGCGGTCTGTGGGCCAGGCTCTGCTCCCGCCGCGACCTGGAACCTCCAGGGCCGTGGGTGGCACGGAGAGGCCCCCAGGAGGGGGCGTTTATGTCCAGTGCCAGGAGGAAGCGCAGGGAGGACGCCTCACCCTGCTGCTCTTCCCAGGAGGCATGTGCGGGGAGACCTGGCCCTGAGCCAGGAGCAGGCCCTGGAGTGGGGGTGCCTTGCCCCGCCGGGGTCCTGCCCTCAGTGAGGCCCGCGAGGCCAGGACGGGAGGCATCGCCTACCGTGTCTGGAGGGAGCCGGCCGAGGACTTCGAGCAGGGCCTTGTACATCTCGTCCGCGGTGCCTTCGTAGAACTTCCCGCAGCCAGCCACAAACAAGGTGTCGCCTACAGAACAGGACAGCCGGGGTGTCCAGAGCTGGGGCCAGAGGAGCCCCAGAGCCCACCCTCCCCACATCCCCACAAGCCAACAGGACTCTCCATCAGTCCCCACCCTTGTCTCAAGTGACACCACTGACCACCCAACCAGCGGCAGATTTTAAAACCGTCACCCCCGGGGGCCAGCAGGTGGCGTGGTGGTTAAGGCGCTGGACACTCCCACAGGGCTGACCATGGTTCGAGTCCTGGACCTGGTGGCTTGCTTTCTCACTTTCCGTCTCTCTCTCTGGTCATATTAAAATAAATGAACTAATAAATAAAATTAAACAAAAAAATAAGACTGTCGCCCTGACTCCTAGCCACAGACCCGAACCCCAGTCCCACCGCCTGAGCAGAGGCCCCCACACACCAGCACCTACCTGGCCGGTGCCCAACCCAGGCCCTGCCAGCCCCACATCTGTGCTCCTGGCGGCCAGGCCC